GCCTTCTCGGTCTATAACCTCGAAGCCAGAAAATAATTGTCTATCTATTTTTGTGGATATATAGTTACTGTATAACTATCTTTAACAAACCGACCATGAACGTAGTGAATTGTCGGGGGATAAGTTCTTGAACTACGGACCTTTACATATTTTCGTACGCTCCCATATATTTGCTCATACGTCGCTCTAAAAAAATATCCCCAACTCGAAATAGTTTTACGTCCGAAAGTTTATTATAGTAGAATCGATATGGAAAGGCGAGTTTCATGATCGGCGAAAAACATTAAAATTAATCAAAAAACGACGAATGGGGGTATATGTGAGAAATTGGGTCGTACAAAAAACATGTGGATCTAACCTGTAAAGCGCTTATTCTGTCATGATCGACTCTGCATGCCACGTTATTTCAACACATGCTTCGATCACGGGTAATAGAAATGTGCGACGTAATACGTAAAAAATCTGATTATCTATGTCGCGGTTTATACGTCAATTCAAAAACTTATTTACCAGATGATTAGTTTATTTCTTGTGGCATTTTCGCTTTTTTACAACTGTGACCTTACATACACCTTCCGGACCTGAATTGGAGGAATAAGAAGTGCTTGTATCAGAAGTGTCAGTATCCGAATCTGTGGAATACTTACCCCCACCTTTCTTGCTCTTATTTTGCTGTAAGCAAGAATTAGAAGGATCTGTCTCAGATTTTATCCATGGTAACTTTCCTTTATTTATACAACTTAGTTCATACTCGATAATACAAAGTTTTTCAAAAATTCTATACTCTATATCATCTTCTATAGAATGAACCGACTTCCAAATATTATTGAGGTGTGTTTTTATTGAAAGCTTTCCACACCCATCGCCTAAATCTACTTTAGGATATTTCTTATTCTTGCTAGCTCTGCTATTTTTGGGTACATTATCATTTAATCTTCTGGATGGTGGAGGTACAGGAGTTATGTTGTGAAATATCTCATGATAACTCTTTTGGTGTTTATTATTTTTGGCGTTTGAAAGAAGTTTCTTGATTATATTTGTAATCTCCTCTATTGATAGATCGGACTTAGGTGAGTTATTTTTACCAGAGCTGGTTTTATGACTCTTCGAGTCGTCCATGGGCCTGCCATATCCTTCAATCAATGGGATACTCATATTATCTATTACAATTTTATCGCGGTGTTCATAGGTTCTGGGAAAAAATCCAAAGATAATTTTTACTTTATGCATCCATAACCATTCTTGTCCCAGCACCAAATCGAATAATGGATTTTTGCGAATTTGAAAGTCTATTACTTCAGTGCCATCTAAGCTTCGCCACTTTCCTTTATAGCAAAATTGTAGATCTAAGCATTTTATTTCTGCACCTATCAAATCATCACCAGATACACCTTCCAACCCATAATCTTCTTCAAGCTTATCGAACAACCTCTTACTAATGGTATTAAATTTCGAGGATGTATCAATTAACATTTTGACTGGGGTTTTTCCTTCGACGAGTGTATCAACAAATATGTTAAGTGTATTTAATAATGTATATTATCACGAAAAATAACTAATAACTCGATAAATAATTATACATTCTCAAGATCAGAAGAGCCTGTCTCAGATTTGGATGTACAATCCTCTAAACTAACCGAAAAAATTAAATATGGCAGATGGGTAGGCCGACTTGTTTTCCTACATTAGGTAAATATAATTTATTAAACGAAAAATTAGTCACATGTCATC